TGTCTCTCATTTTTAAATATGTTTTTTGTAAACAACATATTGTCAGATTGTGGTTTTTGATCCACTCTGCTGTGCATTTCTGTTATATAGTTGAGTTCATTCCATTCACATTCCAAGTTGTGATTACTAGATGTGTGTTTCCCTCCATCCTGTTTTTAGCACTGTTTATCCTTCTCTCTCTCTCTTTTTTGCCCTATCCTTCCTCAAACATCTAATTGACTTTTAACCACTGCCTCCCTAATCTGCACCCCTTCTAAGAATCCCTCCTTTATCCTCTCCCCTTGCCTTACTGTTCCTTAATCTCCCCACCTTTCTAAGAGCACCTCTTTTATCTTATCCTATTGCTTTCCTGTTTCTCTGTGTATTAAGAAGACTTTTACATCCTTCTAGGTGTATTAACTCAGTTCTGATGAGAATAGGGCTCTGCACCTACCAGCCCTCCCCACCCCCTACATTCCACTGTAACAGCTCTTCCACTCACACCTTGTTTGTGTGAGATAATTGCTCCATTCTACCACTGTTTACCAAATTTTATTTTTTTTCGGATCATCCCATCATACTCAACTCAACCTGAAGCCTTCTATCTGTGTATGTTCTTTCAGACTACCCTAGTAATGATAAGGTAAGAGTTACAGATAATATTTTCTCATATAAAAAGTAAGCAGTTTGACCTGATTAAATCACTGATGATTGGTCTTTCGTGTTTACCTTCTTATGTTTTTCCTGATTCTTGTAGGTCAAATTTTCTGTTCAGTCCTGGTCTTTTCCTCACAGATACCTGAAAATCCTTTAGTTCATTAAATATCCTTTTTTTCCATGCAGGATTACACTCAGCTTTGCTGGGGAGGTTATTCTTGGTTGCAAGCCTACCTCCTGCACTCTTCAAAATATCATGTTCCATGCCCTTCAGTCTTTTGCTGTAGAACCTGTTAAATCTTGTGTTATCCTGACTGTAGCTCCGCTGTAATTAAATTGTTTTGTTCCAGTGTAGTATTTTCTCCTTGACCTGGGAGCTTCAAAACTTAGCTATGATGCTCCTGTGAGTTTTCGTCTTGGGATCTCTTTCAAGTGGTGATTGGTGGATTTTTTTCTATTTTTACCTCCTCAAAATTCTAAAACTTCTGGGCAATTTTCCCTAATAAATTCTTGAAGTTTAGTGTCTAGACTCTTTTTTTTATCATAACTTTCAGGTAGTCTAGCAATTCTTATATTGTCCCTCCTCTGTTTTTCTAATGAGATGTCTCACATTTGCTTCTACTTTTTCATTGTTTTGATTTTGTTTATTTTTTGGTGTCTTATGAAGTCAGCAGCTTCCCCTTGCTTAGTTATAGTCTTTAAGGAATTATCTTCTTCCATAAGTTTTTCCAGTTGGTTGACTTTTCTTTTCCCAGTTTTCTTGATTTTCTTGCATTATTCTTATTTTTTTCCCTAATTTTTCCTCAGCCTCTCTCACTTTATTTAAAGCCTTTTTAAAGCTCTTCCAAGAACTCTTTTTGGGCTTGTGACCATTTTGCTTTTTTTTCTTTGAAATACAAGTAGCTGCTTTAACTTCACTTTCTTGTTTTGCGTTTGGTCCTTGATCTTCCCTGTAGCATAGTAGCTGTCTGTGGTCAGGTTCTTCTTCTCTGGCTCACCCATCGTGTGGTGGCTTATTTCTTTGTTGTTAACTTTGTGTTAGAGTCAGGCTGTAGTCCCAGGGTGTGGGGGATAATGTCTCAGACTTCAGGCTTTTTGTCCTGTTGTTTTCTGAGTTCTTTTTGGGGGCCTGACCTCAAGTTCTCCTCTTCGCCCCTGAGTGGGTCCCCAGCAACTGTGTCACCCCACATAGTGGTACTTCTGGTAGCTTCTCTGCCCTGGAACTAAAACCAGGACCCCACCTTTCCATGACCACAGTCACCAGTGTGTACTCGCTCCTGCGCACCCACAGCCACAGCCTGGGACTGTATCTGGTCAGTGCTCCTGGGGCCTGTGCCCCACATCAGTGGAGGGCCCTGGAATCTTGCCCTGGTCAGTCGTCTGACCCCCGCCCTGTCCATGGGGGGAGCGTTCTTGGCACTGAGCTGCCGCTACACAGCTGCCCCCAGGGCTTATTGTTGGTAGACTCTGTTGTATCTGCATTTCAGTCAGGCCAGGCCACCACCCCAGTGCGCTCCCAAGTTGTCTCAGGCTGGACAATTGCTTTACCCAACTTTTAATATTTTCTGTTGCTCTAAAAAGTTCACTTTGAGGCATTATTGCAAGTTATTTTGGGGGAACTTGGGGGAACCAGGCAGTTTCCACAGAATCCTCTCTGAATTCACTTTAATTTCACAAAAACCCCAAAGAAACAGAAGTTGAAGCCATTGCCAGGCTCTCCCTCTTGGTGATCTCTTACCGCTGAGGCATTTTTCCCAACCACCTCCTCCTTCCCTCTTTCCTCTTCGGAGGAGGTGGCCCTTCTTGCCAAGGCACACCTCTCTCTGTGTATCCTTGTTCCCCTGTCTCCTGCCTTCACCATTTGGACTCTCTCACCTTCATTCCCTCCCTGCCCCAGCTCCTCTTCAGATGTGCTCATGTCTCCCCAGCCTTTCACAAACCCTCCATGGATCCAGCTGTTCTCACTAACTTTCATCCTCTGGCCCCCCTGTCCTTGGTAGCTAAACTGGAAAGCCATCCATAGCCACTGCTTCTGTTCCCTCCTGTCCCCTTCTCCTCTAGACCCTCAGCAGTCTCACTTTGGAAGACCTCCAAAGGAACCATGCAGTCTTCAGAGTCACAAATCATGTCCTGTTGCCTGCTCCATGGCCTTTTCTCCGTCCTCCTCCCTCGGTCTGTGTCTTCTCCCTCTGAGCTGTCTTGTTGAGGATAAGAAAAGGTCACTGGATTTAGTGATGAAGAGATCACTGGTAACTTTGGAGAGAGTAGTTTCAGTGGAATGATGAGATCAGAAGCTGGATTATAAGGGGTTAAGAGAGAGTGAGAGGAGAGAAATCGGTGGCCCCTACTGTGGATGGCTTTTCAGGGAATTGAGCTACAAAGGACAGAAGAGAAATAGGATTTTAGAGGGGATGGAAGGATCAAGTGAGAGTTTTTTCAGGGTGGGGGGAAACATGGTCATGTTTGTAGGCAGGAGGAAATGAGCCAGTAGAGAGGGACAGATTGAAAATCAGTGATCTACCTTAAATCAGCTTTTGGGGAGATAATAGAACACTTCCTCCCTGAATTTTGGGGATAGGACTGAGCCTAGTTTGACATTGAGGTCTCCATCCTCCAGCACTCTGTGCGGCCCTTATATACATATACACAAAACATACTTCCCACAGGAGGGAAGAGAAAAGAGACCAGGGTTCTAAGCCATTTTCCCAGATGGGCAGGGGGAGACTTCTGGGTTCCTTCTGCCTCCACTCACCTCGCTCTGTCTTCAGTGACTACCCATCTCCCACAGCCAGCTCAGAGTAAAATGTAGACAAACTGGAAGTGTGGGCAGGGGGGAGAGGGAGCCCCATTCCCAGATCCCAAAACCGTAATGTCTTTTTTTTGTTTTGGCCTTTTGAGTCCTGTGAGGTATTGATCAATAAGACTTCTCAGTTAAAAAAGAAAAGAAAAGAAGTGATGGAGTAGAGATGACAGAGAGTGCAATCTGTTGGAGGAGGCACGGTGGAGGGGGATTCCTTGTGCAGGTAGAGGGCTGGGCTTGCTTAGAAGTAAGGACACCTCATCATGGGAGATGGGGGGAGGGAGGAGGGAGGGACAGGAGGCACCTGAGTGATGGAAGGTGAGGACGGGGGAGAAGAGGGGGCTCACGAGAATGGCTTATTCTCTTGGGTAAAGTAGGAGACAGGATTTTTAGCCGAGAGAGTGGGGGAGGGAGCTGCCACGGAGGAGGTAAGATTGACTGGAGGCAGTGAGGGCCCAGCTGAGGTTGTGTAGCCAGTTTTGTAGTGGACCCTGTCAGGACGGTTGCATGTATAAGAGTGAAGGTGATGGATGGTGGGAGGGGCCCAAGGTTGAGGCTTAACTGGGCGCAATTGATGATATGATGAGGGTGTGAGGGATTCAGGAGAAGAGGACAGGTGAGAGTTCAGTTGGTTCACCAAGGAGTCAAGTAGAGCAGAAGGGCTGGTGCAGGGGAGGGGTCAAGGGGTTGGAGGTCATGCAAGGGAGGGCCGAGGGAGAGGTGGAGAGCCGATAGATTATCTTTCTGCTCAGAGTCGGGCCTTCACAAGAAGAGCTGAATTATTTGGTTTGATCCCAGATCTCACACTACTCCATTTCCTTTCTCATTCTTGGCCTGCTGAGGTTGAGGACAGGTCCTTTTCCTTGGAGTGGACACTCAAGGGCATGTACCATGGAGGGTGTTGGGGCAATTTGTGGGGAGATGGATGCTGCTCTTGGGGCTTTGTCCTGTCCTAATGTGTCACTAAGGACACCCATATTTTTAAGAATATTGACAGATCTCTGCATCCAAACTCCCTGGACCCTTCCTAGGTAGCAAAAGGGGCAGCTGATATGGCCTTCTGGCCATTCAGAAACAGACCTTTTCTCATAGCAGATTAGTTCAGAACTGTGGGGCCATGGGTCTGGCAAAGGTGCCCTGTAGAGTCCACCCCCCAGCTCTGGATTCTGAGCAGGTCCCCTCTGTCCTAGTGGGGGCGGGGGGTTCTAGCCAACTGTGTTGCCCGGGCTTCAGTGAAAGCCCCAGCTCTGCTCCAGGCACCAAGATGGATACGTGAGTAAGAGAGCCAGTTAGCACTGAGGGGGCCTCTTGTTCATTTAGCTTTGGGGGGTGCAGCACTTTTATTCACTACTCAATTTTTGAGGCAGAAACATCCTATTTCTGTGGCAGGACAGATTGGTCTTGCCTTTATTGAGAAGAAATGTGCTCCGTAAGGGTGTGCAAAGGAGCTTGTGTCCCGGAGGCTCAGTGGTGGGTGGGCAGGCTTAGCGGCTTGTGCAGGACACTGCTCTGTGCAGAGGGCTTCCCACCACTTGTAATGGGAAAAACTGATTGAAATTTTCAGACAGTGGGAGCAGCTCGCCGCTACCCAAGTATGCCACCTCTCCCAAACCCAACAACAGCTACATGTTCAAGAGGGAGCCGCCGGAGGGGTGTGAGCGAGTGAAGGTCTTTGAGGAGATGGCGTAAGTAACGTCCCCACCCTTGTGCGTGGCCCGTGTAGCTGCAGGAGCTCAGGAGAGGGGGAGCTTCCCAGGTGGCTCCCAGTGATCAGACAGTGCTGGGGTTACAGGCCAAGGGCTGCTCCTCTGGGATTACTGAAGGTAAAAGAGAAAAGAGGCCTGGGAAAGGTCCAGCCTTTCTAGGAGAAGCAGTGCTGTCCCCCTGGGGCTCGCAGTCTCCTTACACTTTGCTAAATAGCGAGATGTCCTCCAAGGGAGACGGGGAGACCCTGTGAGCCCATTCCTTTTGAGATGTGGAGCTTTGTCCCTCTGGCCCTGTGCCCCTGCCTCCCTGCCTTCCCCACTCAGGGCACAGAGCCAGCTTCCCGCAGTTGTGGAAGCTCCGTGTGGGTTCAGGCTCCCTTGTTGTTCATGGTGTCCTTTTGTCCTGTTCTAGGGCTCGCCAGCCCATCTCAGCCCCTCTGTTTTCATGTCCTGACAAAAACAAGGTGAATTTCATCCCAACCGGCTCCGCCTTCTGCCCTGTAAGGCTTCTGGGCCCTCTCCTGCCAGCCTCTGACCTGATGCTCAAGAGTTCTTCAGGCTCCAACCAGAGCCCGATACTGAGCGCCTTGACTGTCGAGCAGCTCTCGGCACGGGTGGCCTTCTCGTCTCTGTCAGATGATACCAGCGTCGTGGACTCGGTGGCAGAGGTCACCCTCCCACCGCCGTGCCCACCCCCACTACCCCCACCGCCAAACGACCGTCAGGCTGAGGAGCGCGCCTTGTCTCAGAACCATGTGGCCATCTAAGCAGGAGAGCAGGCCCTCGCCCTCGGAAGCCCGGTCCGCATGGCTGCTCGGACGGCTGCACGGAGGGGTGACGCCTTTCTGGACAGAAGAGAAGATGTGTCAGCCTCCCAGAGAATCTCTCATCACTGTTCTTGGCGGGGACAGGCCTCGATTTGAGCCTTTTTTATTTTTACTGTTTTGTGGAAAGCAGAGATGCACCGCGTGTCGATCGTGCAGCATTTTCGGTGGAGACTATGCATTTCCTCGTATGTCTGACCAGACGAGGGCCGTGTCCTGGGTCTGCTGTAGTCCTTCCACATCAGAAAGTTGCCTGTCCAGAGGGAAGCCGTCTGGGGTGTGTCCCATGCTGACAATCATCCAGGTGTTTGTGATGCACACGACGCACACACCGTCAGACACACAAGAGCCTGGCCCCGCTGTTGCGCAGGGCTCCCCCCCCACCCCCAATGGCCTCGTTTCAGGTACTCAGCCGAAGTCTAACTCAGGTAACTTGGAATGTAAATCCTCTCGGCAAAGACAAGGTGTCCCGGTGACATCTCTCTGCATCAATCTTTCCTCATTCCATTCCACCAAGGAGGGTGACCCTGGGCAGGGGCAGCCAGCGGCAGGAGCCGGTGTCCCCTTCTCAGGTGGCAGCAGGAGGAGGGGGTCAAACGGGGCGTTCCTCATGACTCTTGCAAGGTTGAGAACAAGGTTTCCAGGAGGCGTGTTCCACGCAGCGCGCACCCCAGTGGGAGGGATTTTACAGGGGACGGCCAGGAGCTCTTGCTCACGTCTCCAGCAAATTCGTATTGAGTTTCTCCTTTGGAAATTGTCCCTTCGTTTTCTGGCTAAAAAGGGACAGGCTCCTGGTTGCTCACCTCCACCCTCCCCAGCTTGAGTGAATGGAGCGACATTCGGCCCCAGAGAGGGTTCCGTTCTGGGACGAGCTGGAAAAGGAGTCAGCCGAGGATTCTTTGGTGACTTCAGGCAGCAGCTGGAAGTTCCTTCCCTCAGCTCCATCGCTCTGTGTCTTTTGTCAGTGGTCGTTTCTGCTGTTCTCCTCCACATGGGAAGTGTGAGGCAGGGCAGAAAGCCCTGGGCAGACCGGATCGGAGCCAGGGAGAAGCCTGGGCATCTCCAGAGTCATGCCCTGGGCCCTGGGGCAGCTGGCTGCATTGCCTTTGGCCCCTGCTCCTGGTGAAGGTTGGAAAGGGATGGGGACAGCGAGGGAAAAGGCCTGTGTGTGTGTGTTGTGGGGGGGGAGGGGGGTGTCAGCCATTAAAATGCTCCTTCCTTCCTCCCCCAACATCGGCTGCCACTTTCTCCTCCCAAGGCATATTCTGGTTCTATGACAGCAGTCAGACGGTGTTCGACCAGAAGACACTTTTGTGGAGCAAAGAACCTGGTTCCCTTTTGTCCTTTTCAGTGGGAACTGGTGAAAAGCATTTTTTCCGATCTCTTTCACCCTAAAGTTCTCAGGCCTTGATGAACAGGAGAGGGAAGAAGAGAGCAAAGGCCAGTTCTGTGGTGTGTCTGGGAGCTCCGCTGTCCATCCTTCCTGCCCTGCCTGTCTGCCTGTCCAGGCCTGAGGGAGGAGGAGGGGGGGGGGGGGGGGTCGGGGTGGGGGCAGGGGGGGGGGGGGGGGGGGGGAAGAACTGAATTTGCTTGGTGGATGAGATTTGTGGTGATGTTCCACGCGTTCCTTTTCCCACGAGAAGCTAAATATTAATTGTGCTGCCCGTTTGTTCCTAGTGCATCTGAAGGTTTTGGACGTGCTGTGTTGGAGCTTCTGCTTTTCCATGTAAATCCCAGGAAGCTTTGGAGCTCAGATGTCCCATCCCTTGGGCTTGGAGACATCTCAGACGTTGTATCGGTTTTGTCCATCGCTGTCCTAGGAAGTCCAGTTACTGGATGCTGTGGCTTTCCTCACAGAGGACAGATGTGGCTTTTGTTTTGTACTTTTCCAGTAGAGAAATTCCCGTGTCTTATTTAAATAAAGCTATTAGTAAAAAGTAGCCCCCTTGCTGTGTTTGGGGGGCTGCATGGGGTGGTATGGGGTGGCATACGGGGCGGTGGGGGGCACACGTGGTGGTGTGTGTGGGTGGCGCGCAGGGTGGTGGTGGGCGTACATGGGGTAGGGGGCACACGGGGTGATGTGTGTGGGGGTGACACACAGTGGTGGGGGGGCACACGGGGTGGTGGGGGCACACGGGGTGGGGCGGGGGGTGGCTCATCTGCTAGACACAGTACTAAGGATTGAGGCAGCCTCCACAGCCCAGTGACTTCCAGCCTGCACCCTTATGGGTGGTGGGGATGTTGCAGAGGGTTCCATTTCATTCACACACTTGCTCTCCCAAGAAGAGCTATCTTCTGATGTTTCCCGTTTGGAGCCTGGTGCAGACTTGAAGGACAGAACTTCACCATCCATGGTTTTATAGCCAAAGGATTTGTGGGATTGAAGTGTTTTTAACTTGAGGCAAAACAACCTCTGAGGACGAGGTGCCGACACTACTTTGTCCTGGGGTGGGAGGATCATGGGCCCAGGGACCTCTGTCGAGGCAGCCCTGCTGTGTGTCAAGGGGCAAAGGCTATTCAGCATTCTGGAAGGGGAAGACTTTCCCAGCCCATCCGTAAAGCTAGTGTGAGCCTGGCCAAGGGTTTCTGAGGCAGGTTACCTTCACAAAGTCTGCTGTACCAAGGTGTCGAAAGGCTAGACAAGAGTTCATTCACTGTATCAGATTGCGCCCCATCTTGGGGAGGGGCGGGGGAGGGAGGGGGAGAAAAATTTAAAACTCAAAAACTTATGGAAGTGATTGGTGATAAATCAGAATAAATTAATTTTTTTTAAAGTTCATTCAAAGAAGGTCTGGGGGCTTCAGTGGATCGCAAGCTTATGTGAGTAGGCTGCATTTAGAGGCCTGATGTCCAGAACAAAGGAGCTAACAGTATTGCCCAGGTCAGGCCAGATCTAAAGTATTGTGTTCTAAGAGGTGGTGCTCAGGAGTGAGTGCATTCCAGACACGTAACAGGCTGAGCGAAGGTGGATGACAGAATGTGGCAGAGATCGAGAGCCACAAAGGGGAGTGATGGGTAATAACCCTGAAAGGCAGCCTGGGCAGTCACTAACAGGGAGAAAATCAGATCAAAGCCCTAGTGTGGACCGGCTCTAGGAAGACAGGCATGCTGATACATTGTTGGTGGAGCTGCAAATTGATCCAGCAATTCTGAAGAACCATTTGGAATTAGGCCAGAAGAATCACTTCAATTGTTTGTGCCCTTTGAACCCTGTGCCAGGGTAGGGAGGGCACGTATACTTCTGAACAACCAAACCAGGAGCCCTGTGGGCACCAAAACAACAGCTCTAGCAACCAGGGTGCCCACCCAAAAAAGCGCAGTGCCTGAGCATTTTAGCATGTGGATGTGCCACCAAAAAGTACAAATATGAGGAATTAAGAGCCTTGGACGTCAGAGGAGCTCCCTTAACGAATGGGGATTGGACAGCCTTGGGTGGGGGCAGGAAAGGCTCCATGTCAGAGGTGGAGTTGAAACCTAGCCAGGCTTCCAGAAGTGGAGGTGAAGACAGAGAGCATTCCCACGGCCCTAGGGGACAGCCCAAAGACAGGACGGGAGGAGACGACTGGCGCTTGATTGGAAAGGCCTTGGTCTTCTGAGAGGGACAGTTGGGAGCCTGTGGTCACGTGTTTGGGGGAGGATCTGCTGGCCGGGAGAGGACTCTCGGGGCTAGTCCGCGCTGAGCGTGCAGTCCGCGAAAACCCCAAGACCTCCTGCAGATAAACTAGTCTCTAGCTTCTTGATGGCTTTGGTACATGCAGGACACTGGGGCGCGTGGTCACTGGCAGCAGATTTCAGCAAGCATTTGGTGGTCTCGCATCACCCTCGTGCACAGGTGGACCTGGCTGTGTTATGGGTGCACTCGGGAGAGGCGCTGAGAACTTGAATGAGGTGGCGTTTGGGAGACAAGGGAGAAGTCGTGGTCACTGCAAACCGGAGAGAACGTTCCCAGGAGAAGAGGACGGTCAGTAGCGGAGACGGCGGAGAAGATGCCGGAGAAGGCGCTACCTGGAGGGTCCTTCCAGCCTGAAGCCTGTGATTCGGGGCTTCTCTGCCAAGTACCTCCAATGAGACTTCAGTTCTGTAAACCAGGCTCCCGTGACACTGCCGCAGCTCTTCCACCTGAGTGCCACCGAGCTGTGATCTCCAGGACACGCCTTCCACCCGCTGACATAACGGCCCTTTTCACAAGTCACTGTTACCGGAAAATTCCCCATTTGGCGGATGCCTGGTCAGCGTTCCTTCCTCTTTCCCTCATCCCCCTCTCCTGAGTCTTCTTGTCTGACCATCAAGGCCGTCTGCCTGAAGCCCCAGCTTCAGCAATCTCCCCTGGCTTCTCGTGACCAACTGTTCTCTTTTCTCAACTACCTTTGCTGCTTTTTTGGGTGCCCCT